AAGTCATAAAAATGATCCAAACACACTGTACATGAATTATAAGAATCTATTTTTTAAATAAATCAAAAATAGATTTAACAGGTAATTATGAAGTGGAGAAAATATGACTGAAAGGTTAATATTGTTTATATTTACCTATATATAAAACTCATATAACTCAGTAAGAAAAACATTTGAATACTCCATAGAAAGGAAGGCAAAGGAGACACCAAAAAGGGAATTCACAAAGGGGAAATACAAATGAGTGGAAAGCATACTAAGAATTTTTAGTGTTAGTAGGCAAAGGAATCGACATTTAGAACAGGATGAGATGCCATTTCTTCTATTAGATTATAGACAGTTGACATATGATGTGAACAAGGTCTGATACTCAAACACTGCTGTGTAAGTATAAATCCATACAAATTCTCTAGAATATAATTTTGCGATTGTTATTGAGTGTCTTAGAATACTTACCCTCTTGCAATCATACTCCCTAAGCCAGTATTTCTGGGTCTCTAGGACACTACAAAAGAATAATTTAAAATGTGAGCAAGACCCTGAGTCTTAAAATGCTCATCAGAATTATTTAAAAGATGTACAAACATGAGAAACAATCAATTGTCCATGAATAAAGAAATATTTAAATATTTCATACTGCTCACATAGTACAAAATATTGTATAGGTATTAACTATTCATGAAGTAAGTAAAGAATATGAATATATTTATCATATAATATTACATTTAAAATCAACATATGAAGCTATACTTACAGAAAAACTTCAACTTTGTGAAAATAAATATACCTGGGAAAAAGATTCAAATAAATTTACCAAAAGTATAACAATGCTTTGTTTAGACAGTAAGATGATTGTTTTTTAAAACTTTTTATTCTTTCTGTAATTTTGATTTCTTTCTAAACAGCATGTACTTTTCCTATAGTAAGGAAAAATCATTAGAAAAAATAATGCTTGTTTTAAAGCATTACATAAAATGCAGTTCAAAGAATTATCCCCAGCTCCTGAGCCTCCTTGCTTGGTGTCTCAGTAAACTCCACACTAGAGCTATGGGAAGTGAGACATTTCCTAGTAGAAACCCTCCAGCAAGAAATTACTCAGGTTCTTGGAGGAATAAGATCTAATCAGCTAAACTCAATAGGGTCCAGACCGGCAGTCCCCATAAGGCAGAGCTTCCAGTGTACAGAGCTGGACAAAATTCTGTATTAACTGCCTGCACTACAGACTTTATCTCCTTCGTACTCTCCTCATGCTAGGCATATCATCACATGTTTTGGCAGCACTGATTCAAAAGCCCAGAAGACTTTGGATTGTGGCTTTAACATTTGGATTAAGAATTTTAACCTAAATCAGTCAACATGGGTAAATCCATACGGGCATTTTTCACTAAGATGAGCTCTTATGATTTCTTCGTCTCTTTGCCTGCTTTTAATGTCAGAGCAAAACCCCACTGCCCTAACCAGAGCCTCCGATGGTGATCATGCTTGATTCACAAAATTAGGCTGTCCAACTCTCCCATTTCAGAAAAAGACATTTTACAAACACCAGTAAAGGGAGATACTTCACTGACATGTTACAGTGACTTCACTTACTCATATGAAAAATACAGATATTTTCCCTGTGGAAGATTTTTGTAAGTCTATTATTATCCAAAGGAATCTTTAAAAATATGCTTCTAAAATACAAGTACACCTACTTAGAGTTACTAGGTATGTCCAGTCCTGACAGGATAGATTAAGCATGGAAGTCTGAGGGGCTAGGATGAGAGAAGGAACAAAACTTGCTTATTCCTTCTGGATTTTTTCAGGTTTATTCCCTATGACATCCAGACACTTCATCTTTGTTTTTTCCTTAGCATTTCTCCATCCATTACAGAGCTTCCCAGTTCTCCTACCCACACTTCCCCCTGGAATAATCTTTCTGCTTTATTTTAAAACAAATGACTATTTGTTTTAGACAGTAAAGGTTTAAATTCTAGTGATTTGGTGCATAAATTCTAGGTTTACTTTTTCATACTTAGCTACTAACCTTGGACAAAGACAACCTGGTGATTGTTTAATTCTTCAAAAGTCTTAACTGCGTAGTAAACCTTGTATTTCTTCAACTTCTCTAAGAAATGCTTCTCATTTTAAATGCTAGAGTAATGCTTCATATAGAGGCTTTGTAAGAGCTACACATGAGTTATCTTTACTTCGGTTTACAAGAAAAGGCCAAAATCTAGCAAATGAACATCTTTGCCTAGGGCCACATGACAAATTAATGGTTAAATGAAAATTGAGTGATCAGGGAAGGCTCTCTTCCCCTTCTTCCTCAGGAAAGTAAACGTTGTAGAAAGATGACATGCTGTGCTTATGACATATCAAAATATGAAGTAAGACTGTCCTAAATAACATATGTCCTCTGGAGAATTAGGCAACTTTACTACAGCTGTTAGTGATCTAAGGGACCCATCAGAGAATGATCAGCCTACTGAAAGAAGAATTGAGGAGTTCACCTCCCATCTCATAGAAAATAATAATGGCTGTCATATGTAAATTCCCTCAGCACCCTGCCCTAAACATTTGCAACTACCTATATGTCTCTCCCTATCTTATCAGGAGACAAGATCTTTTTCCTCCACCCAAGGTTTGTCTCCACATATGCTCTACTTCATGTCTTCAGAGACCTTTCTCAATCAACTACCCTCCCTTACTTAGGCATTTTCAATATTTCTCTTTCAGAATTTTCATGTATGCATATAAAAACATTCAAGCTACACTCATATTAAAAATCACTCTTTTTAAAAAATTTTTTCTTCAAACTACTTTCCATTTACAGCATAGCTTGTGAAAAAAAAAATGACAGCAAGTCCTAACTCTATGTCCTCATTCTTCACTCAGATAGCCCACTATGAATTTAGCCTCTACCCTACAAAGCAAAGAAATTCAAGGATTCCTTCACACAAATTCATGGCTGAAATTATTTTCCCTGAACTCTACATTGATTTATTCAGTGTCTTGTGGAATATTTTCCCTTGACAATATCAGGGATATTTCAAGGTCAATATGAATGAAAATTTAACTCATTATCTGTCTCCTCTAAATGTTTACTCTCTATATAATCTCTGTCTTAGAATATGCCAACCATCCAACCATCTCCCTAACTCCAAAACTTAAAGTTATACTAAATGTATAGTATACGTCTTTCCTTCATCTTCAACTTCTAATACACTACATTTCTAATCTCATCCTAGCCAGCTGCGAACACCCTGTATCCTATACACCAAACATATTAAAATGATTTGATTTGTCAAATATATCATACTTTGTCATGATAATATGATTTTATTCATCTTCCCTTTGCCTCTGCTTTTCTTCTAGTTAAATTAAAATAAACCTTCTAAAATACTTGTATTTTATTTCAGCTGAAGAGTTTAGCTACTGCCCCATCCTCCTCCAGGCCTATGACCTCTTCCTAGTACTATTTTAAGTGATGGTTAGAACACTTAACACTCATATTAGATGTACAATACAATATTGTTAATTACAGGCACAATGTTGTACAACAGATCTCTAGAAACTGATCATCTTGCAAAACTGAAACTTTATGTCTTTTGAACAGGAACTCCCTATTTCCCCTCCCCCCAGCCACCATTCTCCTGTATGCTTCTATGACTTTGACTATTTTAGATACCTTATGTAAGTGGAATCATGCAGTATTTGTCCTGCTGTGACTGGCTTCTTCCACTTAGTCCAATGCCCTCAAGGTTCATCCACAATGTCACATATATTGCAGGATTTCCTTCTTTTTTAAGGCTGAATAATATTCCACTGTACTTATATACCACATTTTCTTTATCCATTCATCTGTTGATGGACATTTAGATTGCATCTGCATCTTAGCTGTTGTGAGTTGTGCTGTAATGAACATGGGAGTGCTAACATCTCTTTGAGATCCTGATTTTAATTCTTTTGGGTAAATCCTCAAAAATAGAATTGTTAGATTATATTATAAAGCTACAGTTATGAACACAGTATGGTATTGACATAAATACTGACATACAGACTAACAGAACAGACTAGAGACCCTATAAATCAATCCAAGAAAATACAGTCAACTGATCTTCAACAAGAGTGCTAAGACTACACATTGGGAAAAGGATGGATGGTCCCTTCAAAAAATGGTGTTGGGAAAACTGGATGCGCATTTGCAGAAGAATGAAACTGGATGCTTCTTATACCATACACAAGAAAACAACAGAAAATGAATTAAAGACTTAAATATAAGACCTGAAACTGTAAAACTTCTGTAAGAAAACATAGGGAAAGAGTTTCCTAACACTGGTTTTGGCAGTAATTTCATGGATATAAAAATGGCTTTTAAAAAGTATAGGCAACAAAAGCAAAATTGGACAAGTGGGACTATTTCAAACTAAAAAGCTTCTGCACGCAAAGGAAACTAGCAACAGAGTGAAAAGTTTTCCTAACCCTTTTTATTCTTCCTTGTATGTGCTTCTTTTCTTGTCTTTCTTCACATACTTGCATTGCTTGCTGAATTAATACCCTGGAAAGCCAAACCCTATGATACTCAGGATCAAAGCTAAAAGACAATTTTCTTCTGTTGGTGATTTTGGAAGGGGAAGGAGGAGTGGAAACAAGATGGGTTGGAAAGAGAAGAAAAAGGGAATTTCAGAAAAGCTTCCCAGGAAATTTCCCAGAATGTTATCATTGGCTATCAAAGGATTACTCCTTGTTTTCTGTCAGTCCCCAGCTTGAATAAACAAGTATAATGATTTACAGCAAAATTTGCTCCCTCTATTATGGAAAGAACATTTTCCCAAAAATCAATTAATTTCTTCATTGGTGTTTATGACAACAGTTACACACAACTAAGGACATTTGTACCTTAGACATGCGGACATGGTTCTAAGTTCTCTTCTTTAACCATGTTCTCACAGCCTCACTGGGTAACTGTAAGACTGGAGGCCAAAGAACTGAATAACAAAAGGATTGAAGTGCCTTACCTGAGACAATACAAATGTAAAATCAAAGAAGAAATAATGAACAAGAGGGTGTAAAGAAGCACTGTGAGCTTTACACCGAGAATTCCTGATTGCTTGGTTCTTTCAAACAACCAGTATAGCTTTGCTGCATCAGCTACGGGAATCTCCCATTTATGTGTAAGCCACTGAGAAGAGAAAGTACAAATTTAAAAAATAAGGATGGAAATCCTGATTATCAAGTTAGATGAATTTAAGTACACAAAGACCATATGATATTATAAGATCACCAGATCATCAGCTACATAAAGGAAAAGGGAAAGACTGGGTTTGCATAGTGAATTTACCAGGTTTTCTCATTTTCCCTATAAGCTTTTAAATGTGTACACCCTACATGCAATTCATAAAATAAAAGCCATGTATTATTTATATACTATTTATCTTCTGAATTTAATGAGCACAAGATATGAAGACATTAAATAAGATGGTGGGAAGATTCCTTTTTTTCTAAAGCAGATTTGAAAGGAATTTAATTTGTGCTATGCATAACATAGATGGCTTGTTTTAGAAACTTATAAAAAAGTTATCAGGCTATTTAATGTGAGCTTGAAAACCAAAATTTACATTAGGTCAATTTAACAATAAGCCCATAAAAAACATATTCTATAGAAGATTAGAAATAACTACAAGTCAATGTCTTTACAAACAAACATCAAATGCGATGGACCTAAAGAATTGTCATATGACCTCTTTGACCTTTTAGCTTTATAAACATAAATGTTCTTTAATTATGACCTCATGACATCAAATGGGAGTAATATTCAATATAAATGTAAATAAGGTATATTTTTTCTCCAATGTAAGGGGGAAAGAAGAATTTATTTTTCTATGCCGACAATTATATAAATATAGCTCAAAAGGGCATGCTTAAAACTAACTAATCCATATTACACATGTACAGTAAAAAGAGAAGCCTGGAGAGGTTAATCTGTATGTTTCTCTCCACCAAAATATTCTTTATTAAATAGTCAATGCCTAGAATTCAGATGTTCCAGCTCTCCACCACTTCTTTCACCACCACACCAAAACTTAAATTTTAATATTCTGTACTTATTAATCAGTCCACCTTCTAAAATGTGAGTCTGTGACTCAGACTTTAAGCAGAAGATCTCTTTGGGCTATCATGCATTCCTTCCTCTCTAGATCTTACCTTTCAGTGGTTTTTTAAAGGTAAAGAATAGACATGGGAGTCACAGATGAAACAAACAAATAAAAAATGATATATGTTTATATAACATAATCTAATCAATGGGTCTAATCATTCATTGGAGATTCATATATATTGTATTGAATGCCTACTATGTGTCATTAATCTCTGAAGATAAAAGAGTGAATAACATGAGACAAAAACCCCCTACCTTCCTGGAGCTTACATTTAAGTGAGGGGTAAGGGAATGATAGCATATAAGTAAGATTAATATATATGTTATATCAGAAGATTATATTTCAAAGAAAAAAATAAAGCAGAGAAAAAGGATAGGAGAGGTGGGGGTGTGTTACTAAATATTGCAATATGAAAAAATGTTATTTGAACAAAGACCAGAAAACATAAGGAAATGACCCTTATACCTCCCACATGGCACACATTACACCCTGAGAATACTACATCTTTGTGGGTGTATATTCCTGTCTGGACCGCTGGGGCAATGGTGTCACATCTTGTATTATTCACAGAGCATTAGTGTCATCACTTCATTATAGCCCTCATCCCAGTTCCTTTCAGTTTACATGTACGGTACCTTAAATTCTTCAAAGTTTATTTCCAGCTGGCTTCTCATTTTATTCTCCCAACAATACTGTGAAATGAGTAAGGTAGGTGTTACTATCTGTGGGTGAGGCATGAGGAAATTGAAGACTTTGGGCAAATGGATTTATCCAACATCACACAGCTCACGAATGGCAGAGCCTGGACCAGAACCAGATCCCATGATCCCAAGGCTCTTTTCTCTACTGCTACACAATCACCTCTAATGGAGTCTCAAGAATTATTTGCTGAATGGAAATGTTGCATTCCACCTTTGTTGGATCTTTGCTCTTGGGCGTTATTCCTATCTCACTTTGTATATTGAGAGCAGGAACAATGCCCTATATTTTCTGGATCTTTTGAAATCCTATGCAGAGTATAAAGTCAATAAATACATGCCGATGAGTTAAAACATTCAACCGCAAATCTTTCCTCTATTTTTTATCTAAATTAGAATTCAGGCAGAGAAAGAACTTATAAACTCTATGGAATTGTTGGACATAGAACCATCAGTGCAGGTCCAGGAATGCATGCCAACTTCTGAGCCAGCAAACTGAGAGACTGGCAGAGTGTTATTAGCCACATCAACAGCCTCTCAATGCTTCAGCCTCAAACCATTCCATCTGCCACATTTCCTTTTAGATTGCCATGAGAAAATGAATCCAGAACCATCAGTAAAACGATCAGTAAAATTAGGTAGCATCTCTCTTGGCTGGCTGAACAGGATCACACACAGGTGAACCTCAGTTCACCTGCTAAAAGGAAGTGCTGAAATAACTCACACATCTCGTGAGTGACATACACTCTATGATAACCATGACCCCAGAGGAGCAATAGCTCTCCAACTTTAAATGACAATGAGATCATCTGGAAGGCTTGTTGAAACACACAGCCCCTTCCCAAAGTTTTGGACTCAGTAGCTTTGGTGCAGGGCCTGAGACTTTGCATGTCTATTAAGCTCCCACGAAATCTAGTGTTATTGGTCCAGTGTCCTCACTTTGAGGACCACTGCTTTAGATCAGTACTCCTCAATCTTCTGGGTGCAGGTAAATCACTGGAAAGCACATTAAAAAGCATATTTAGATTCAATTAGTAATATGAAAAAATGTTATTTGAACAAAGACCAGAAAACATAAGGAAATGACCCTTATACCTCCCACATGGCACACATTACACCCTGAGAATACTACATCTTTGTGGGTGTATATTCCTGTCTGGACCGCTGGGGCAATGGTGTCACATCTTGTATTATTCACAGAGCATTAGTGTCATCACTTCATTATAGCCCTCATCCCAGTTCCTTTCAGTTTACATGTACGGTACCTTAAATTCTTCAAAGTTTATTTCCAGCTGGCTTCTCATTTTATTCTCCCAACAATACTGTGAAATGAGTAAGGTAGGTGTTACTATCTGTGGGTGAGGCATGAGGAAATTGAAGACTTTGGGCAAATGGATTTATCCAACATCACACAGCTCACGAATGGCAGAGCCTGGACCAGAACCAGATCCCATGATCCCAAGGCTCTTTTCTCTACTGCTACACAATCACCTCTAATGGAGTCTCAAGAATTATTTGCTGAATGGAAATGTTGCATTCCACCTTTGTTGGATCTTTGCTCTTGGGCGTTATTCCTATCTCACTTTGTATATTGAGAGCAGGAACAATGCCCTATATTTTCTGGATCTTTTGAAATCCTATGCAGAGTATAAAGTCAATAAATACATGCCGATGAGTTAAAACATTCAACCGCAAATCTTTCCTCTATTTTTTATCTAAATTAGAATTCAGGCAGAGAAAGAACTTATAAACTCTATGGAATTGTTGGACATAGAACCATCAGTGCAGGTCCAGGAATGCATGCCAACTTCTGAGCCAGCAAACTGAGAGACTGGCAGAGTGTTATTAGCCACATCAACAGCCTCTCAATGCTTCAGCCTCAAACCATTCCATCTGCCACATTTCCTTTTAGATTGCCATGAGAAAATGAATCCAGAACCATCAGTAAAACGATCAGTAAAATTAGGTAGCATCTCTCTTGGCTGGCTGAACAGGATCACACACAGGTGAACCTCAGTTCACCTGCTAAAAGGAAGTGCTGAAATAACTCACACATCTCGTGAGTGACATACACTCTATGATAACCATGACCCCAGAGGAGCAATAGCTCTCCAACTTTAAATGACAATGAGATCATCTAGAAGGCTTGTTGAAACACACAGCCCCTTCCCAAAGTTTTGGACTCAGTAGCTTTGGTGCAGGGCCTGAGACTTTGCATGTCTATTAAGCTCCCACGAAATCTAGTGTTATTGGTCCAGTGTCCTCACTTTGAGGACCACTGCTTTAGATCAGTACTCCTCAATCTTCTGGGTGCAGGTAAATCACTGGAAAGCACATTAAAAAGCATATTTAGATTCAATTAGAGGGCGTCTTCAAGTGTGGACTCTCATGCTGCTGACCTGGATTACATGCAGCCGTAGTCTCTTTTAAGATGGCAAGAGTTGATGTCATCGGCAATAAAACATGATGGATTCTAATGGGAGAGTCAATAATTGTGCAGATTAGAAATGAGCCTTCAGTTTTTCTTTCCAAGTGGAGAAAGATATGGGTGCTATACTCATTTATTAGAATCCAAGTCAGCTTCCATCAGGTTACACACCCCTGAACTGGCTCTGAGATGGCCATGCTGGAGGCTACTTTCCTGTAGATTGCATCAGAGGCCCCAGAGTAAATTAAGACTGCTCATTCGGTCAGCTGCCTTTGATACAGTGGACGAGTCAGCCATTAATCTCTCTAGAGGGCCTGATTAAGATAAGAAGCCATTCCAGGAGGGCTGCAGACATGCCGTATGAGGAAATCTCAGAAGACTGTAAGGAAGAGCTTGCTTATCCTCCCCAGATGGCTTTACAAGCAATGTTCCAATAGGATCAGACTAGCACCCTGCCTACTCTATATGCACATCAGGCCTCTGGGAGGAATGGTGAGATGCCAGGGGATGGGATCCTACCAGAGTGCAGGCAGCATTCCTCTCTACCTCTTCTGCTCAACAAACCTTGACAGCATGCTCTGCCTCTGGCTAAGGCTAATCTGCCAAGTGAAAAAAACTTAGAGATGGGGTAGAAAACACAACCACTTCTGACTGACCAGGCTCCCTCTTCTGTCTTGTCGTCAAGGTGTTGAATGCCACTGAGGCTGGAAGGTAATCTCAAGGTAGAGTATGAGAGTAAGTCAGCTTCCAAGTACGAATGAGCTTTCCTTGGTTCATGGCTCTACCTCCAGTCCTTAGCAGCAGAACTAGAAACTACAGACACTGGTAGGCTCCAGATGCACTGCATATAATTCATTTTAATACTGTTAAGCGATCAGCATGGTTCCAGGGTTAACTAATGCAGTTGTCTTCAGGTTCCAAGCATTTCTAGCAGAGGTCATTCCACTCAGAAATAAGCAGTCAGAATTCTGTCACTAAGATGAAAAAGCCCTTAGTGGACCCAGGGCATCAAGGACCCCAGATTTGTTGAGAGCAGCCCGGCTACACAAAGCAAGTGAAAGCTCAGTCTAGCAGACAGCCAAGGGCACCTAAGCACTTTGTCATGATACGGTCTAGTCCATGGAACCTTTGGCATCACCTAGTAAGTTTGTTAAAATGCAGAAAATCAGGTCCCCACCTGCTGAATCATAATTTACAAAGCTCCATAGGTGACATGCAAGCACATTAAAGTTGGAGATGCACTCTGCAACACAGCGTGGCCTAAGAAAAATAAAAACATCAAAAGACTTTTCTGATCTTAGCTGCTTATCAGAGCACCAAGGATGATATCTTTCTGGATGCAGTTTGAACAACAATCTGGTCTTTCATGTTAGAAGCACATTATTAATGGTAGAGTCCATTTCAAATATAGTTAACAAGTAGAGTCAATGACAACACTGCATCTCTGGGATCTGCTTGGTACAGTGAATATAGTTTAAACACATATATACCAATTGCAAAACTTTTTTTCTTCTGAAATGGAGAAATATACCAGTTATGGAATATTATTACACAAATTAAGATAATTTTATAAGTGAATATTTGATCATATTGATTTATTTATAGTATCCATCTGCTCTCTTGCTTGGGGCTATATTCCATAGCCAGGTCTACAGTACAAACTCTTAGTCAAAATTCAGATTTCCTTTTCCTTTGCCAATTGAAATTTAATTTGCTGATTCCAAATTAAAGAGGTTTTTTGGCTTTAATTATTCTATTATTTGCTAATATCTTTAATTTTGCTTTGATAATCTGATCTAAAGTTTTGGTAACTTCAATGAACCTTATATAAAGTAACTAAATGGAAGGTTGTAGTAAAGTTTTCCCATGGAGCCTTGCCTTGCTGGAACTTAGCTCTCCATCTGATGTTGGCATTCCTAGATCTTCCCAGCATGCTCACTAGATCTTTCCTGTGCAGCTTTGGTCTCAGTGTTTCTCAAATTGTGACTCAAAAATATCAGTGTCATCTGAAAACTTCTTAGAAATGCAAATATTTGGGTCCTATGCCAGACCTACCAAAACAGAAACTCTGTGGGCAGAACCCAGCAATGTGTTTTAACAAGACTTACAATAGATTCTGATACAGCTTAAGGATTAAAACATTCTAGTAATACTCACCAGGAAATCTTAGTTCTTGGAAATTCAAAGCAACTAGAGCTTTGGCTATGGTAATAAATTCATATTAATATTCACATCAATCTTGCCTCAAATTATAGCCTCAACATTCACTAGTAAGCCAAGTATTTGATATAATCAAATAATTGTCATCCCAAATGGCATATATTCCATCTCACAAAACAATATATTGATTCAAACTTTGAAGTAGAGATTTTAGTAAAATGAAAGAAAACGTTATACTATATATATATAATATATAGTATTATATTACATATTATTACTATATGTAATATATTGTACATTATATATATAAAATATTATATATATTATTTATAGATCATATATATTATATGCATATATTTTATGTGTATTTCAAAATTCACAAATCTAGTTTCCAGTCTTAGTTGTAGTATATGCTGGCTATATAGCCTTGAACAGGTCATGTAATTCTGCGGCTGGTTTTTCCCAGTTTTAAAATTAGAAGAATGTTTCTACCATCAACTTACAGTGTTCTTGTAAATACATAACCAAGTAAGTTGTAGGAAGGTGTTTGAAAAGCACAGATTGCTTTTCAGATAGTAGAATCATTATTAGCAGTGTTAATGCATCATCACACACATTAGTACCACAAAAATCCTAAAACTATATATTTTAGGGTGAAAGACACTATTGTGTCATTTTTTAAGTATCACAAAAATCAAAATAAATGCCACTGGAGTAATTATTTTTAAGTTATTACTTAGAAGTGTTTAAAAAGCTCCTCTTCTTGAGTACATTCATTGCAGAAGAGTATTACATCATAAAGCAATCAATTACCTCACCGATTAAAGGAACTACTGTCTGATTAGTTTTTCATAAAGTCTGGCTGTGAAAATCCTTAATATTAAAAAGAGTTACCAACAAACAGTTACAAAATAAAGCTTCTTTGTAACAATTTTAAAAATATATCAGTTATTTTGGATTTGATCCCCATTATTTCCTGCTTATTTTGTGTGTTTACTTAAGGTTATTAAATTATAGTTAAATTGATTATATTAGACATATTGCATTATGAGGAGAAACGTAACTTCAATTTAAAATGAATATTGACTTGTTCATTACTGTTGAAACTCCCCATATCCACAGATTTAAGCCCTAAAGCTGAGTTCTATGACTAGAAGTCATATCCCCATTATTTTACTTGACTTACCCTCAGGACAACATCCACTATGAACACTGCCAGTGGGTCCAGAACTGTCCAAAGGCCCATGGTAATGATTAATTTTGACAAGACATCAGGACAGGCAAACAGTAGCTCATAGACCCACCTGATCAGAAGCAAAGGAAGTTTCACCACATGCAGCGCGAAAGGTCCCCCCACAGCCACAAACAACTCTTCTCCGGCGTGAAGTGAAGATGCTGGGGAGCAAAGCTCCACGGTGAGGAGGGAAAAACGCAATCTGTGGGCAAGCAAAGCAATCGCATGTGTCCAAATGAACGGAATTATACAGGATGACTGGTATACAAAATAATTTAAGAAACTATGTACTTTATTTTTTAATATAAACTTAACCATAGTACCCCAAAATTAAGGGTTAAGAGTCTTCATCTTTTCCCAACCTCTTTGTACCACATCAACAGCTCCCTTTACAGAAAAAGGCAAATTCTACCTTGTTCATTGTTCTCGTAAGTGACATATGTAACCATGGGGAGGATGTCAACTGTATCCACTGCGAAGTGCATTCTATAGACTAAGAACTGCCCTGCAGATCACACATACTCACAGGTAGGCTATTTGAAATGTAAAATATCCCAGTGGGCTTGTAACAGGTCAATCTCTAACAGAAATCAGAAATACAAATAAATCAAGTAATTCTTCAGAGTTTTTGCATAGCTAATTAATTTGCCTGTGATTCCTCTAGTTAGACCCCCCCCCCCCAGATACAATAACAACAAAAATGCCACATTTAGTTGTATTAAAAGGGACAATGGGACATAAACTAAGGACCTAAGGGTTGAATGGAAGGTGAGCCCAGTCATTCAAGCAGCCCTGACCCAGGCTTGGGCACCCTCTTTCCATGCAAAGTGAGACTTCACTATGCTCTAAGTTTCCCTCCCCTGCATTTTAGCCTTCGAAAAGCTGTTTTGTCATTGATCCTGCTTGTGTATCCTACTTGCCAGGTCTCTACGAAAAAGACTTCTTCATTTTAACCACTTCCTAATTTTCACTTTGAAGGAAGTTCTATGCTTTGTTCTTATGCTGTTGTGAATATTAAATAATGTGTGTACATTTCTTAGCAGAGGACTCAACACAGAGAAGAACAGAAGATACGCTCATTGTGTAGTTATTGTCATGTCTCATAACTATGAAAGGACATGGAGCTACAGTCTGATTCAAGCCTGTGGGTCTAGACAAGAGCCAGCAAACTTCCTACCATATCTTAAGTCCTCTGTTTCTTAAGAGTTTGGATAAACTGGGTTGTCAAGTCATTTTTGGAAATCTTATTTTATTAACAGCCAATAAAGAGCTTCCATTTCTATGGAAGAAGTAAGAATGCTGACAGCCAAAAAGCAACGAGCTCAAGCATAGAACATTTGTCCTTTCTGCTTTGAATACCCTCACACGGAAGGAAGAAAAAAAAGAAAGAAAGAAAAAGGAAGGAAAGGAATATAATGTCTATGTAAAAATTCTCCCTTGAAGATACTGTTATTCAGTATATATAAATTCTCATCTTCTATAATGTTCAAACATTTGCAATTTAATTTCAAGATATATATAATATACACATATAGTCATTTCCATGGTGTCTTAAGGTTATTTGCTATCTTCTTAATTGAAAAGATACACACATCTTTATTTTTATCTGCACCATCTATATTTGAGAAAATGAATTTTATTTGTATTGATATCTATCTGTATGTCTATCTACAGTGTCGACGGAATCATGTTTATGGAGAGATAACCTTTAAAATGTTATCTTTTTCCAGAGGATAATGGCCCAGAAAGCAGCCTGGGCTTGAGTTTGGTAATTGTTTGAATTCAATCATTTTCCAGAAGAAGCAATCTTTGCTTTTCCGAGTATAGGTGATAAATCATACATTACTTCTAAAGTACCTTCAGCCTAAGTCACTCTTATAAAATCAAAATAGAATAAAATATTGTTGCTAAATTCCTTTTTGGATTCTGTTTGGATATTAGAACATATTTGAATCTGCTAAATGTTAAGTAAATATTGATGTACCAGTTATGCTTTGTATATACAGGCCCATAAGATGAGAGTATAACTGTAATAGACATCCCTGCCTTTCGATTAAGAGATGTTTGTCTTTTCAAATCATACCTGCATTTTAGGTCTTATGGTAAATGGAAAGGAGAGGAGTTTTGTACTTTCATTTGGCCGATCAAGATGAAAATACATTCCTCTGACTTTCAGGGGAAAGCACTCCCTTTGTAACAGGAGTTGAAATGGCCTGGAGGAAAAGCCGCTGGCTGAGGTAATGCAGGGAGAGCCTCAGGAACCAGGGAGAGGCCATCAGCAGGATAGTGTACCAGGAGCCCTGGCTTTGCCATTGCGCTAATTGAAGTTCCAAAAACACTAATTCCAGTGCAAAATGGAGATGCTTGGAGAATTCTCCAGATCTTGTACTATCAGCAGCTGAAGGACAGCTACAAAGAAATAATGAATCCTGAGCTGTAATTGCAACCAAAAGCAAAATATTTTCAGAATGATAGTAAAGACATTGTGAAAGTAAATTTTAATTAAATTATTTCTTAAATACTTGGGACTCAAATTATTTATGTCCCTTTTTGCTATAAAGGATAATTAAAGGAGAACATAAAGAAACAGAGAAATGGAAATGCAAATAAAAACCACAATGGGATATCTTCTCACATCTATCAGAATGGCTACTAAAAAAAAATCAGAAAATAAATTGATGCAGGTGTGGAAACATTGGAACTCTTCTGCATTATTGGTGGGAATGTGAAATGGTATTATCATTAGGGAAAACATATGACAGATCCTCAAAAACTATAAATAGAATCACCATATGATCCAGCAATATACCTTCCGAGTATTCATCCAAAAGAACTCAAAATAGGATCCAATCAGATGTTTGTACACCTGTGTTTGTAGCAGCATTATTCACAACAGTCAAAAGGTGGGGGCAACCAACTGCCCATCAGATGGAGTATTGTTCAGCACAACATGGGTGAAACTTGAGATCATTATGTTAAGGGCATAAACCAATAATAAAAAGACAAAAAGTGTATGATTCTACTTACATAAGGTCCCTAGAGCAGTCACATTCATGGAGATAGAAGGCAGGATGGGGGTTGCCGGAATCTTGGAGGGGAAATAGAGAGTTTTTAATGGTCTGGGGTTTCAGTTTTGCAAGATGAAAAAGGTGGAGACTCGTTGCACAACAATGTAAGTACACTTAATACAACTGTACTGTACACTTAAAAATGGTTAAAATGATAATTTTTGTTATGAGCATTTTACAACACTAAAAATGTTTAAAGGAATATGAAAATGAATTATTACAAGCAATAAACATTTTAAATCTTTACTATCTATAATACATTCCTGCTTATCTCATCTACCCACAATGATCCCTCTTTATGAAGATGAGCTTTAATCATAAAGTTAACTATTTCATTTAAAAAATTGAAATACGTTATCAATATACCAGTGAAATATATATAAATGAGAATTCAAAACTACGAACTCTATTCCTTAACACCATACAGGCATTTTTTGTTGAAAGTAAGCATAAAATAATTGCATGCAAGGTATTCTGATTTAGCTCTGGTTTCCTCTCTCTGGTATTGAGAGCATAAGAGATTTTTTCAAGGTTTCTAAAATGACAGTTTCCTCAGGAGAGAGCATGAAGAGTCCAGCTGAAAATAACCGTGAAGGCAGAACTCCTCTCCCCCCCAATCCCCAGACACTGTGTGGAGACACATCCAGGAGAGTCGCCGCGGCTTAGTGACTGAAGGCACAGCTTGGGATCTGCCTGCCTGGGTGTGATCCCTCCCTGCACCTTGGTTTCCTCAGATGGAAAAGGGAGCCTGGAGGGCCCACACTCTAGGGTCAGGATGGTGATGAAGTTGACAAATGCATAAAAAAAACTCAAACAGTGCTATTGCTCTGCTATTATCACAAAATAATAAATACTATCTCCCACTTCTCCCTGCTTCTCTTCTTCCAATACTTACCTGAGCTGCTTTGAAATGAGCTGGTCTTCGATCAAGCCCGAGAAATGTAGGAGACCTCTCTAAATGGTGATGGGGTTCCTTTTATTTTACAAGAGATATAAACCTGTATATGTATATATTTGTTATTGAATTAACTGTTGGTATAAACCATCATCAGTTTAATAAAATAGATTTTTTTATTGAGGTACATACAGTAAAATGCATAGATCTTAGTGTACAGCTTGATGAATTCTGATGTGTGTGTACAAGCATGTGACTATCACCTTGGGCAAGACACCAAACATTCTCACTAATTTTCTCTCCTTCACCTATTTCACTCATCCCCCCACCTCCCTCCCCTATGGTAACCACCAATCTGTTCTCTGCGTTTATGAGTCTATTTCAGTTTTGTTTATTTGTTCCTTTGTTTTGTCTTTTAGATTCCACATATAAGTGAAATCATATGGTATTTCTCTTTCTCAGCCTGGCTTGTTTCACTTAGCATAATACCCTGAGGTCCATCCATGTTGTTGCAAATGACAAAATTTTGTTCTTTTTTATGGATGAGTAATATTCCATTGTGTATATATACCATTCATCTCTTGATGGATGTTTTGGTTGTTGGAAAATGGCTATTTGGGCTATTGTAAATAATGTTGCATTATTATGCATTATGCATAACAAACATAAGACTGCATATATCTTTTCAGACTAGTGATTCTGTTTTCTTTGGGTGAATTCCCAGAAATGGAATTTCTGGGTCATATGGTATTTCTGTTTTTAGTTTTTTGAGAAACCTCCATAGAGCTTTGCATAGTGGCTATACCAATTTACAACCCTTCTAGCAGTGTATGAGGGTTCCCTTTTTTCCACATCCTCCCTGACACTTGTTACATTGTCTTATCGATGTTAACCATCCTGACTGGTAAGGAGGTGATAGCTCACTGTAATTTTGATTTGCAATGTAACTAATCACTAGGGAAATGCAAACAAAATGTCAGTTTTCTTAAACTAGTAATGAATCTTTATAATGACTAGGCTCCATGTTCCTGGATTAGGTTGTCTAATTCTATTCTATAATAATTCAGTAAACTCCTCAACCAAAAATCATCCTGATTATAAACATGTTACCAAAGGAAAAGCTAGGACTATAATAAATAGTTCAGTGACTAAGTAACTAATCACAGCAGGTTAAGGCAGTGTGAGAACACAGAAATGGAACTCATAGACAGATTCAAAAGATTGCATATACAGAAGCCCGTATCTTCCTGAAGACTATAAAGCATAATGACAATTGTACCATGAGAAGATGAATAATAGAAACAGGAGGGTTTTGGCAGGGGAGAGGAAAAAAGTACTAACAAGAGAAATTAAAGTAAAATCCACTATTCCCCTTAGAATTCCAACCCATGACTTTAGCCTTTAGGTCTGCACAGACACTGAATGTGACACCGATAATTCCTTTATGTTGCTATTGTGTGTATTTTGCCATGAAGGTGTAGAGCATCATCAAACTGAAAACTATGTGCAGTCTTTGAACTGAGCATGCTTCTCAATGACACAAATGAGAAACAGTTAAACAGGAAACAGGCTTCCAAGAGGCTTTGGTTTACCAACATTAATACCGTCAGGGAACAGACTCTTAGAGAATCCCAGAATACCTTACTACATTTACCATTATATGAAATGAAACCCAGAACTTTCTACATGGCTGAAGCAAAATATTCTGTGTATGCTCCTCTTCAGTTAATTATTCTGTCACTGTTTTGCTTCTTCAAAGAGAAGAGAAAATCAGATACAGATTTGGCATGATGTTGTTTGCAAAAAACTGGAAAATCTCAAATAATGCAAAACAGAAAAGACAGTAGCTTTTCTGACCTTTGGAAATTTCCACTGTTCTTTTCATAGTCATTGATATAAATGACTAAGCAGTTTAAATGCTTATGCACAGAAGATACTATAAATTCATACTTTTGCTATTAGTTTCACTGGTAAAATGTTTCCCACCCACATTCAAATACACACATTTGTTTAATGGGACATTTAATTTAGGGCAAATAATACTATAATTTTACTGTGTACCACTAATATCTAACACAAAATAATTAATTATCTTATATGCCTAATCAACACATTTCAATATTTGTTTTGTTTAACCATGATGACTCTAGTATCTGGATTCAAAGAACTAGGAATAACCTAGAATCAATGATTTAGAGTTTAAAAAATTATATACTGCAAAATTAGGAATTAATAAAAGAATCAGTTGAGGCTAGATGATGCGAAATAAAAGGATGTATAGAAAAACTCATTAGCTGCACAAAGCTAGTCTAGTATAGTCTCATAACAATTCCCATATGACAAAAAATATGACAGTGACAGTCTTTTCCTCTTAATCATTTTGAATTTGCACCTGAAATCTAAGTGTGCACTGATATAGAATTACATCCACAGCTCTCTCTCCATATATTGTACTTGAAATATATTTCATTCTAAACAAATTCTGTGTCCATGTTTCAAAATTGCCTTGAAAGAAAGCATCTTTTTTATTCTTGTATACATGCAAGGCACATTATAAAATGCAGTGCCATGATACAATATCTTCATCCACATTGCAACTGTTCTTTCCTTCTCCTGTAATCTTTCTTGGTTATATACAAAGAGTATGACCATCAAAAGGATAATAAATGGCCTCTGCCACTGGGGTGTGTAATACGTATAGTGAGAATTGATTTGTTGGTTATGAAGGAAACCATGGAGCACACAGATCACCTCGAAATCACATTGAGGCCAGCAGCTACTCCTCAGTTCATGCAGGCAGCTCCTCTGTTACTCACGGGGTGAGCTGCCAGACGGGGAGAAGAATGGTGAGGTCATGCAGTATTCAGCTATTAAATGAAACCTATTTCTCTGAACTTCAGCCACATTTCATATGACACGCATGTATCCCCCTTCCAAGCCCAATCCTTATAGAGACCTGAAATCAAACAAGATTTCTATGATCCATCAGTGTAATAATAAAAAAAAAAAGAGAACTAAAATTGCTTTGAAAAAACAACAAAAACATGGAATGCATTCTTAAACTCTTTTATACAGGGAACAGGAGTCCTTAGGAATTTGTATACAACCCCATCAGCTGTGCATAATAATCCTTTTAAAAAAGCCACTATCAATCAATGGCATTAAAATTTCCATATTGCCTTCTTCTGGTATAACTACAGATGGAGCATTTTTTAATCAAGTTTTTGTTTTTGTGTAATTCTTTCATTTGGGTGTAATTCTTTCATTTGTGTAATTCTTCTCACCCATTTTTTCTACCATGTTTTATTTATCAACAAGTTTTTGACTATGGATATCCTCAGTGATTCAGAGGCTTTTTCCAGGATTTGATATTCATCATGAAATGAAATGCAGGAGTCACTGCAATGAAAGTGTCAAAGAAACATGCAGAGGTCACAGCACATCTA